AATAATATCTTATATTTAATATATTTCTCAATATTTTTTTATTAACCCATCGCCTGCACAGCATTTTGTGAGTTTTGTTTCAGAAGGAGAATATTTTAGCACTTTTTCAGTTTTGCCAAACACAGTTTTAGAGGGTGTTCTTTGCTGTACCCCGACAAATCATATACTTTTTTTTCTAGCTGTTTTGGTTAACCATTCACATGCCAAAAAATTGCAAATAGTATTTAAAGTTATTTACCAAAATGCTTTAAAATTAGAAATGTATTAGTATTCCTTTTTGCCACACACATTTCTAAGGTTTCATGAATTAGTTCATATTTACAAAACATTAGCATATAGGTTATCTAATTTTATCCATCTTTAAAAGTATGATATTTGATGGTATTTCATAGAATAATTGTGTGCGCAGATGAGAAAAAAAAGTATAAGATATCCTGCATAATTATATAATTTGAATGACAAAAGAATTTAAATGTCAACTGAAAATTTGATACAGATTTGAACTATATATATATTTTGCAGGTCATTGTGATAAACTGTTTTCTCTGGAGTATAGTTTTTTTTTTTTTATGAAAAAGGGAAGCGGAACTGGTTAGATATTAGAGCTGTAAGTTTTTCATTCTCTAAATATCTACATTTGCGGGGAGTTTTAGTAATCAGAATAAATTTGTGTATAAATTCTCTATTTTTTTTTAAAACGTATAGCAATAAGGGAGTACTGCAGTAATGTGGACCGGGAATTATTTAATAAAAAGATCTTAACAGCACCTAACTAATAAAACGGTTACTCCAACCACCATGACCACTTCAGTGATTTGGCTAGTTACACCCCCAGGACACGTGACTTTGGTAGTCTGGAACTCTGATCTAGGCTGCCTAATATAAATTCTGTGCATATAATACGTCCATTGTCAGAGCGCACAGCACACTTTCAATGGGCATATTAAGCTTCTCTCTTGTATTCGGAGCCTGCAAGAAGAAGCGTGGATGTCCTCTCCTTCCTTCAATGTTCTGAGCCCTTCCAGTCTCCCTATAAGGCCAATAGTGCACTTTTATTTTTAAAGTTTTTTTTTCTCACTCACCTTCTCCAAATCCCTCCATATCTCCCCCTCACAGGCTCAGATTATAAATATGCTCACTGAAATAAATAAATCGAGTAAAGGCCACAAATGTTTGTTTAATTAACGATTCGGAATTACACCCTTGCTACCACATAAAGAGATGACTGATGGGAAAAAACATGATTGATGGCTAGGGGACAGCCACTAAATGTTGATTTTTTTGTCACAAAGTGACCAATAGAGGTAAAAAGAGGAGGAGTAATAACAAATCGATATTAATAATATTTCTCCTTCTCTTCTTTTTCCAACATTGGCTACTTTTTCTTACTTGACCTATGAACCAAATGATTGCAAAATGTGCCTAACAGTATTCTACAAAATATATACATAATATATATATTATACAGTGATTGGCCCATTTTTATTGTGCCCCTTTTGGTTTGTTTGATCCACGTTCCTGATTTGTGGACAAAATTTGCATGTTTCAAATAGTTTTATTAATGTATTTTTTTGGGATAAAATGGTTCGTGCTGAAATACGCATTTTTTTTGCCACACCCAAGTCTATTATTTAAATATTATTATAGTTTATAGACAAAAGAAACCACACATTACTTATGTTATGGATACATTATGGTAGTAATAACAGCATTAGACCAAAATCGTTTTCAGCAACTGCAAATTTGCTCCAAATATTAAAATTAGATATGCTTACTCTTTAGCTGTTGTATTTGCAAACACATTTCTTTTTACAATTTTGGTTGAATTCTTTTCTTTGGACTTTAATTGCCAGGGAAATTAAAATGGCCCCAGTAATCTTCGAACGACTAACTGTGGTTACCATAGTAACAGCTTATGCTAGTGAAATAAAAAATAAGGGGGAAGATCTAAAGCTTTCAAATAAATGAGGAGGAAGAAATAGACGAGCACAACATAATAATAGATTGCTTTTTTGTTATTGGTGTCAGCGGGATGTTGCTGTCTTATCCTAAATTGAAGAGATTATAAAATCACGATGAACTCACATTTGATGTTCTGAAATATGTCACAGAAGAACACATAGCTACATTCTCATTGATATGAAACCTCCCCCCCTCAGCTTATTCAGCATTTAGTAGGAAAGACCAAACAACAGTTACAAATGTATTTCTATAGGTCTGTCTGTATGTATGCTTTTGTCTGGCATAACATATGTGTAGATGTTTCTTCAAATGTATAAATGAGGAGTTTAGGACCCCAGTCTGCAGTTGGAAGCAAGCTTTATTTCCTTGTAAAGCATCGGAGATATGATTGAAGACTTAGTCAAACATATTTTAGGCTCTAATGTTTTGACAAACAGGTACCATACTCACTCAGATAAAATGACTTTCTACATAGATGGAGAAACCCTTATGAAAATTGACCAGTAGGTACTAATTGGTATATGATTATAGTGCATTCAAAGTGGATGTGTGAAAGCACTATGAGCTATTCTTATGCTACCAAGAATGTGTTATCTGCCCATTCGAACAGATTACACAAGTAGAAGAGAATGACAAAGATGGGCTAAGATATTTTGTCTATTTTGGCCAAAGGACCAGAATAATATTCATCAAAGGTGGAAATAGCAAAGCATCAATGCTCCAACGGTGAAAATATTTACATGTGATCATAGATCCCAGTCTGGTATGTTATGTGTTTTACTTAATTCTGTGTGTTGGGACACTGGTTCGTCCTGACATACACACATTGCTGGTGGGTAAGTGGTTATAAAGGAAGTGGGGGGGAGCAGAGCTTCCGGCCTCTTACTACTCCCATCCTCGGAGTGGATATGTAACTTAGATTTGGGGCACCTGGCCAAATGTGTTGACTCTCAGCATGATTATTCGAAAATCACCCGTGGTAAAATACCTGCCTCCAAAGCCATGGAAAAGAAAAAGAGGAAGTATTCTAAAAAAGAAGGCAAGTAGTATCTACTGAGTTTGAATAGTTACTTTAAAACCATAAATCCCATTCTGCTGAGTGGGTTTAGCTCAATCACTGTTCCTTGGAGAGAGCTGAACCATCAGATAAATAATTAAAGAACATATTTTCGATTAAAGAACATATTTTTCTTCTAGCTAAATTTCAAAACATTGAATGGGGAGTAATTTAATCTAAATCCCAAATCAAGGCCTGATTAACATAGGGTCTAATGGAACTGATGCTCCAGATTCATGCCCATGAAATAAGCCCACTGCTAAAAAAACAAAAAAGAGCATAAAGTTGACTTGCAAATGCTCTTGATGCTTTAATCTATCTACATTGTGGCACATCCCCTTTCTGCTATGCTCACTACATCCACCTTTTTCTCTGACCAAAACTGCAAACCAAGAGTGTTTGCCTGCTAGTAAGAAGGGAGGGAGAGGAGTGGACAAGTAAGTGCTCGGGGACACCTGAGAACTATTCCCAGAAAGCATAGCACGAGTGCATAATTAGATCAAAACCACAAACCACAAGGGAAACAATTAATGAGTGCTTCCCTGGGTGGCCGCCTTTCGTATAGACGAACACCACCAGGGGGAGCATTCGTGGATTGTTTCCCCCTTGTTAATTTCCTGAAAGTGGACCTCCCCAGTGCCCCATTAGAACATTTACACCAATTAATCAGAATTTTCGCACTCGCAACATAGAATTCCGGTTTCTGGTTCCAACTCTTCGCGCCAAGAAAGGATGACGAAACACCTACTCCACACCTTAACAGGATCATAGGATACTCCACACCTGAACAGGACCACAGGATCATCGGTAACTCTCACAGGATCCAACCATGAACTGAGGGCTCTGCCCTATTTATAGAGACTAAGGGGGGACGGGGGGAATATTGTATGAATTTTTGGTATTGATTATTTTTATTGCTGTATCATTTGATTTTGGTCCCTGAGGAAGTTCCCAATCATAGGAATGAAAGGCGTAGGACCTATCCTCTATTTTATCTTTTGTGGCTAATATATATGGCCTCCTTTTTACAATAAATGTATACATTTATTTTACCTATATCTACCAGAGTCTCATTCCATACCTTGGTCCGCTTTGATTTCAAATGGAGACGTTTAGCCTCCCAAGTTTATCGGGGCAGGCACCTTTTGGGCGCACTATTCATCTTGATCTCATGAGTGCATTATAATCTCAGCGCATTAGTATTTGTTTTACTGTATTACACTATGTGTATTTTTTTGTTCCTGCTTTAGATTGCATACAGCCATTTCACATTTTCTTCTGTATTGATATATAGGTGTGAAACTGCAAGGGAAGTAATTAATGAGTGCTTCCCTGGGTGACTGCCATTCATATAGCTGAACACCAGTCAGGGGGAGCATTCATACCCCAAAAGAAGATGCAAACCCTTGTCTGGGTTTCACACCAGGACCTCGCAAACAGAGACTAGTCAATCAAGGGACTGAGGTGAGGGTCCCTGAGATTGGTGTGGGCACTTTTGGGGCACTGGTGAGTTTGGCTGGCTTTCATGGGTCTGAGGGACAAAGAGACAAACTCTTTTCCCGTGGACGGGCTTTTCTGTGCCTGGTAGACAAAGTGACGATCCCTTTGTCCCACGCCTAGACTCCCAGGCACAGAGACTCTTGGGAAGAAGATCCCTGGCGGTTGGTGTGCGATACCCTATGGGTTTAGTGGTGGGCTTTGGGGAGAAAGGGAACAGTGTTCCTTCCCATGCTGGGGCCCCAGGGAGGCAGAGGATTTTGGGATGTGTCCTTGCATGTTTGCATGGTAAATCCCTTGCCTGGGACTATGCATTAAAGTTGTGTGCGTCATTCAGTTACTAGGGGGAAATGGGTCGATTTGTATTTTACATGGTTCCTGACCGGCTGAAGAAAGGGAATTAGCTGAGGTAACCTGTGGTCCTCTACACCGTCCTCATGGATAAGGAAGGAACCCTCCCAGATGGGTGAACCCGAAGGTAGACATGAACAAAAGAAATCGGACACCAAACACCAGCAGTGGCATCAATCCTAAGTGCTCAACCAGACCTCAACTGATCAGTTTTAGACTTTCTAATCCACAATTCTCTGAGCTCTGGTCACTGGAAACATCTGAGAGAGACATCACTGAGGCACTACTGGCTCAAGGGGCAACTAACTCACCAATCTGCAAGGCAGCATTGAAACATATGGAAAAGGCAACTCTAAACAGAAGAACTTCAAAGGGGAAAAAACAAATTGATGGAAGAGCCCCACACAAAGTTCTGAGTAAGGGGACAGCAAGCATACGATGGACGTCCTCCACCCATTCCCTTCTCCAACCCCGTAATATTCGTTGAACTAGGAAGGACTTAGTAACATCCTCCAATTCCATAAACTGCATTAGGAAGGAAAGGACTGACATGTTGCGTTCCACCGAAGCCACTGATGCTCAGGTAGAACTCAGGGAGGACAGAAAAGCCAGCGTAGTGCACAACCTACCGCTGGATGATAACAAATTGAACTCCCCTACCAAACCTGAGATCCACTGTTCCCATATCGACCCATGCGCGTCGGTTCTCAGAGCTACTTCCCGAAAACAATCCCACTGCAGATGAGACAGAGAATCTGCAATAAAATTATCGACCCCGGGAACATGAAATGCATGACCATATGTTATACTCCAAGCATCGCAACACCAATTGACATAACAGAGCTAATACTATGGCCTTTGTTGTTTTATTGTAGATCTTTATTACTCTATATATAGCTTTTGTTGTTTTATTGTAGATACATTTTTGTACAGTTTTTTATTTGAGGAATCATTATGCGATCTACTACACCTCAAAGGGTCAATTTTATTGCACTTGAGCACTGCACTTTAAGGGTGTGTACTGTTTAGTTTAATATGGGGGAGAACCCTGACGACAGCCGATTTACAACATGGACAAAGCTCATGTTGTCCGTCCAGAAGAGAACCTGCGTATTCACGAAAATAGAACCCCATAGCTCAACTGCCACAATGATGGGAAACAATTCCAGGCAGGTTAGGTTGCTGAGTACGTCTTCCCCAGCCCAAGTCGAAGGTCACCGACTCGCGCACCAGTGGCCCTGGAAATATGCACCGAAACCGATATATCCTGAAGCATCGATCAACAGTTCCAGGGAAACAATTGATATAGATTCAGTACGCTAATAGGTATGCCCTAAATACCCTACCCGTAGGCATGACACGGCATGCAAAATTTAAGTGTCCAAGCAGAGATTGCAATTGACTAAGCTGAACCTTACAGGAACCCCGAAGCAAATCCACCATAGATGACAATACCCACAATTTATCCTCCGGAAGACAAAATTCACGTTGAACCGAATCAATTTCGATTCCCAAAAAGGAGATAACCATGCTTGGACCTTGCATTTTTCCTTATGCGATGGGAACACCTATATTGAACATAGCCTCCCAAAACTGACCTAACAAGGATAGGCACGTCGTCAAGGTAGTGAAGTAGAGAAAGGCTACCCGACACGCGTAACACAATCCTCTCTAGAAAGGAACTAAACAACTCAAAATAATAACACGAAAGAGAAAACCCCACCTTGGAACTGGCAACCCAAAAGATGAAATCAATCCTGATGAACCAGTAACAAATGGAACGCAGATTGGATATTGGATTTGGCTAGCAGGGTCCCTTGCCCTGCATCACGAACCAACTCCAATGCCCTATCAAAGGATGCATATTGAATCCGACAATAATCCTTTGATATGCCATCATTAACCGACGTTCCAACGGGGAAGGAAAGGTGGTGAATTAACCTAAAAGCGTCCGGTTCTTTTTTAGGGACCAAACGCAGGGGATACCCGCAAGTTGTCAAACTGCAGGTGGGAAAAAGGACCAGCCATACAGCCCAAGCTCACTTCCTTCCTCAACTTATCCACTAAAATAGCTTCCTTTCCATGAACCGATGATTCGGAGAAAACGACAACTCTGAAAATGCTTGAAATGGGATAATAAAACCTTTTGTAAAACCTTCCGAAAGCATTTCCGCTACTCAACGTTTAGGATATTGTACGATCCATGGACAGAGCCTTTCTGCCTTCATCCTTGAAAGCCGATCTAAGCAAAGGTTTTCCCCGCTTAAAACAGCGCACTGCCGGTTGGGCTCCTCCACAATGGTAGCATTGAACCAGCAGCTACTTTACCATCTATAATGGCTCTCATTGAAGAGCTAGCAAATGCCTTTTTTGTGTTCCACCGACCCTCCGACAGTAGCGCCGGCGGGTGCTGGAAATGTCGCAGGTGGCACGGCGTCATCAATAACAGCCATAAATTACCGTCCTGTACACCAAAATCTAGATTAGGCCGAACCACTATTTTTTGTCTAAATTGCTGGTCATATTTGAACCAACATTGACCCCCATAGACTTTGTAGGCCCTCCCTCGTTAAATCTAAGTTTGCAAAGAGGGAAGGGGCCCGCTCCGAGAAACTACTTGATAGGATACTAGCAAAAGTAACAAAATCTTGGAGCTAATTTCTGAAAGTCTGACCTTCTTCTCACATAGGAATTTGCAGTTTCGTGCCGCAAACCAGCAGCGCTCTGTCCCAGACTCGGTGAAACCTCAGGTACTGCCCTTGGATGCCTCACAGTACGAGGAGACAGCCTAGATGGAAGCCTGGAGCAACAGCCCATCTTCTAGGCAGAGGAGAAGCCACATCAGAAACCAGTACCACTGGCTGAGGATCAGGCAAGACACCCTGCAACAAGAAAGTGTAGGAGTCCGCTCCATGGGTCCTATGGAAGGACTGCAACGGCGTAAGTTACGCTTCCCTAGTCATGTTAGCTTCTCCAGCCATTATTAAATTAGGATAATAACAGAAATGATTAATGAGTAATAAAATTTCCTTATTTCTGACAGGAAATCACCACAGCAAAAAGCACCACCAGGATCCTTTGGCTGTGCTACAATGGACTAGTGAGTTCTCCCAGAATTCCCGGCACCTAGCTCTTGTCACACACATTGTAACAATTTTGTTACCATACCAACCTCTCTGGCCAGCAGTCATGTTCTGGGGTTGGCCTTTATAGGGTAAATATAGAGAACATAAAATGTGGCATTAAGTAATGCAGCATTTAATACATTTTGTTGTGATAAGATACTAACTAAACAAGTTTCTATTATTTAAGGTGTTGTGGTTTTTGCTGTTGCATATAAATTGTACATAATGCAAACTCTTTAGGCAGAATCACCTGTGCTCATGATAGCTATGCTTTTAACACTGAAGCTGTTTGGAACCATTACTTTTTTAGACTATGTTCAATGATTCTCAGCCAGACAGATGGTACCAAAACCAATAATCACTAACTATTGTGGTATATGCTATTTAGAGTTAAAAACACATCGCGATAACTTCCTGTGTGATGTCACATGAAATATTTGAGAAGTTAAGGTTTATGTATAAATAGCAGTTCTTGAATCAAGTTCTAAAACTCAAGAAATATCATGGAAAATGCTGGAATGTTCTTTTTCTGAGAACTGTACATTTAGAACATTGCTCCAGGATTGTTCTTTATCGATAAACCTTATTGTGTCAGCAGCCCTTGGATTGTCTGCTGTCCAATATGTCCGCTTGGAAGCCTGTGACTAGCAGATTAGAAGCAGCTCTGCCAGCATCCGTATGATTTGATTTTCCCAAACAGATGTAGCTCTGGAAAAAAATCTAAAATTTATGTTGTAAGAACTGTAATAAAAAATGATAACACAACAATAGACATGACAGCTTTTTTTGCTGAAGCACTAAATGGCACACCTTCTATCATCTCAATATCTTTCCAAAGTCTACAGCATTTTATGATTAAGTTGCACAGTATGATGTGAGTTTAAATAACTCTATTTACTTACAGTCTCTTAAACGAGGCACATGTTAGAATATAAGTTTTTAATTAGGGAAAGTGGAATGTATGTAATATGAAAGAACGGATCAAACATCCTTCAGTCTCAAATATTTCTCAGTCTGCTTTTGATATATTACATATCCATGTATGCTACGAGTATAAACCAGTCTCTCTTGGAGATATAACTATAACTCCCCAGACATTCAATGAGTATGGCATTCAAGGGCATAACATATGAATGTCCAAAACGCAGAAGCAATTTTCTCTGAATATTTTGACAGATTTGTGTTTGGTATATTTTACAGTAACCTTCACATACAATTGCACTGTGTATTTAGGTGTCTACTTTTTCTGATTTAAAATATAATGCTTGTTTTGCAGATATCATTTACACTTATTGCCAGAGACAATGACGTCATGTTACATCCAATATTTATACCCAAGAGGAAAACTGATGGAGATGAATTGGAGGGTATAGAGAGAAAAAATAGATGTCTGGAGAGGAGATATAAGAGTGGTATGAAATAATATATGTGAAGATTTTTGTAGTACAGCACTGCTCATCTGATACTTTTGTCCATACAGCCAATTTAAATGGCCTGGCTGCAGACAGCCCCCTGAATTTAATTGGTAAAGACAGATGACCCGCCATGATGATGTCACTTGTTACTGAGTGTAATAGGGAGTCTGTGTATGCGTGTATCAAATCTCTCCTTAGTATGAGACAACTAAAATGATCTGCCAATCAACGAGTTGTATTTCATTTAGTTACTTATATGTACTTTTAGAAGTAGAAAGTCAAAATTTTAAAATATATTACTTTTAAGCAAAATATGAATATGGATATATAATGCTAATTAACACATTCATATACATTTGATTTAATTATTTTCTTTACTTCTCTAAATTTGATTTTCAATCATATCTACCTCTAACCTCTGATGCTCACCTTAAAGACTTTTCTAGGGCTGTGCTGTTCCTATGGAATGCCCTTCCCCTCTACGTTAGACTTTCATCCAATCTCCACTCCTTCAAAAAATCTTTGTAAACTTACTTCTTTGGGAAAACATATTAATTAAACTGTGAACAGCTTTTCCTCCCAGCACCCTGATTCCGCTCCTGCAACTGTCATCAAAACAAAACACTAAGCCCTCAATGAACACTATCCTAGCAACCTACTTTTTTACCCTTACCTTTTGTGTCACTATACCTCACTCCCTCTGTCATGTAAGCTCATTGAGCAGGGCCCTCAACCCCTCTGTTCCTGTGTGTCCAACGCGTCTGGTTACAACTACATGTCTGTTCGTTCACCTATTGTACAGCACCACACAACTTGTTGGCGCTCTATAAATAATAATAATAATAATATCTATATTTAGTTCACCCAGTTTTTTAAAAACATATATTAGTTTAAACTGACAGTAAAATACAGCATAATAGCTGCCTGGCTTTCAGGTATCAAGATCC